TATATCTCTATAGGAATATAGGATTGAATATTATATCCTTTCTGGCAGCAACAGTTTTCTCTAAACTGCCGGTCACACTGCGTGCTTCATACAATTGTAACAGTTTTGTTATGTTCAGGTGTGTCGAATTCTAGAGCTCGTAAATCAAAGTCAAAAGATCAGAAGGTTTTAAGCAACGCATCAGTTAGGACTAGGAGCACAAGATCAAAGCAAAGGTAACCTATTCATCTTAATACAGATGTATGTTTCTTTTGCCTTGCTCTTGGACAGTTGGATGCTGTTTAAGTAAAGTGATTGAGAAGAATTTCTGTTCCTCTTCTAGTATCTTCCGTTACTTTATAATTCTTTCTGTTATTTGTCTTTCATATTGTTAATCAAATTTATAAAATACCACTTAAGAGTTTATGACTTGAGAACCTGAAGAAACACATCCAATTGCCTGTTTCTAATCATAGAAATAAGTGATTGTGTCAAATTACATCTTACGCAAGGGATTTATGATGGGCATCTTAAAATGAAAGCTATGTTGCTGCAGGTGAGGAATCAGACGATTTACTGTCTTCCTAGTTGACTACTAATTGGAAACCTCTTTTAGCTAATAGAAGGAAGAGGACCTGCTTAGATATGTCCATCTGCTGCTGTTGGCTTACATTTTGTTGTAAATAGTTCATTTAGCAAGTAACTTGTAACAATTCTAGGATGCTTGAGGTTGGAGATCTCCTTCACTGGTCCATTATTCAATATAAGGGGTGGAATAGGGGACTAAAATGCAAAGGGGGGAAATAATTTTTTTATTTTTATTATGTATATGTACATTGAAATGTAATCCAAATATCAATACTACTAGGGAAAATTCTCATATATGGAACAGGTTCATGTGGGGTGTTTCGTGTCGCATAATCTTTTGTTGAAATTATAAATTAAGTACGATGCACGTGTATTATTTGAAATTTAAATTTATATAAATTCTTTTTTTTTTTTTTGAAAAAGGTGCACGGGTCTAATGATCCCCTTAACTCATGGATAGACCATAAGAAAGAAAGGAAAAAGAAAAAGAAAAGAAAAATACGTACATATAATAAAATCTCTCTTTTACTCCATATATAGACATAGTTTACCATGTGTTGATGTGTAATGAATATCTAGGGCCAAATTTCATCAAGATATATAAAGTACATGGATATAATGATCTCCTTATCTCATGAATAGACCATAAGATGACATGTAATGTTAATTAAAAATAATGATAGAATATACGATAGATATTCTGTTATAAAAGGATATATTTTGTGAACATTGTACAATTATCTTTTGAGATCTCCTAACGTGATTAGGACTCATATTTATAACCTTATATATATGATTCAATGAAAGCCACTTTAATCTAAAGAGTTTGATATCATCTAACATGGTATCACAGCTTTAGATCTATGATCTAAGCTTCCGCAATTTTTATTCTTGCCGGCACCCTCTTCACTGTATTCCAGTGCGCCTAACTTGTTTTGTTAGTGCGCCTATTTGTTCCCAGCTTCCAATTTCTTTTGCTAATCCTTTGTTAGTGCGCCTATTTTGTTTTGTTAATCACTATGGGTAAAGATGATGATTCATCTCCACCTAGTACTACCGAATTTCATCCGGCTCTCGGAGTGAATAACATTAAAAATGTTGTACCACTTATTCTTGATCGTGAAAAAGTCCAATATTCTAATTGGGTTAAACTTTTTGAATGTCATGCTCATGTCTTCGATGTTCTTATCATATTGACCCGAAAACTTCGAAACCTTAGGGTTTATCGGATGCTATATGGAAAAGACTTGATTTCGTCGTCAAGAATTGGATTTATGGTACGATTTCTACGGATCTGCTGGAAACAATCTTGTGCAAAGGGGATACGGCTCAACAAGTGTGGAACAAAATTAAAGAAATTTTTCAAGATAACAAGGCTACTAGGGTGGTTCATCTTGAAAATCAATTTAATCAATTACATTTATCTAAATTTTCTAACATCTCTTTGTATTGTCGTGAATTAAAGAACTTGAAGGATCAACTTGCCAACGTTGATCAACCTGTGTCAGAACAAAAATTGGTGATTCGGCTAATGTCCGGCCTCGTGAACATCGATTTTGGTATTGTAGCTGCTATGATTCAACAGACGGAGCTCTTAGTGTTGTTTGAAAATGCGAGATCACGACTCCTTGAAGAATCTCGCAGGGCTAATGATCAAAGTGAGTCGGCATCCTCATTTGTCGCACAAACCGGCTCAACATCACAACCTGGATCTGCCACACCTACTGCATAGTCACAGCAGCCACACCCTGCTGGCCGGGGCAGCCCTCCTGGTGGTCGTGGGCGAGGACGTGGCAAGGGTTGTGGAAAGGGTAGGGGCAGAGGCCCTGGGCCGCAACAAAAGCAGCAGTTAGGCGCCCCTCAGGGGGGGCAGCAAGCTTGGGCCACCAGCCAACCCTAACAGCAGGTAGGCCCAACCACAACAACAATGGGCTCAAGCTAACCTTGACCTGCTTTCATGCCTTCACAAGCTACTCGCCCACCAATGGCCAATTAAGTTGGGCCAAGTCAGTGGGCCAGCCTAAACCAGCAAGGGTATGTGACTCAATGCCAGGACCAAGGCTCACAACTCACACCAACGGAGCTTGGTAATGCTTTTGCAATGATGGGATTTCAAAACTATGACCCAGCTTGGTGTATGGATTCCAAGGCAACTTCATTCTCACATGACGAATAACGCTTGTAATCTCTTGCCTCTTTTTAATTTAAGCACTAATAATTATATTCAAGTGGGTAACGGTCACCGCATTCCAATTATGGGTTATGGTAATTCTAGCATTACTAATCAATCCCTCTCCCTTCGTGATGTTTATTTAGCTCCCCAAATCATCAAAACTTTAATCTCTGTTTGTAAATTCACCACTGATAATTCCGTGTCTATAGAATTTGATCCTAGTGGTTTTTCTGTGAAGGATCTTTGAATGGGGAAAATTCTAACCAAATGTAATAGCTCAAGAGACCTCTATCCAGTCACAAAGCCACCATCAACTTGCCTTGCTACTTCTCTCACGGCTTTGTCTCCTTCGACATGGCACAACCGACTAGGACATCCCGAAATTCCCACTTTAAGCTTTCTTAGGAAGAACAATATGATTGATTGTAATAAGGAGCAAGACTCCAATTTTTGCGTAGGTTGTCAATTAGAAAAACATGTTCGTTTGCCTTTCCATAATTCTAATAGTATCACTTTTTCTGCTTTTGACATTATTAATGCTGATTTGTGGACTTCTCCCATTCGTAGTGAAAAAGGTCATAAATACTATTTGGTTTTACTTGATGATTTTACTCATTATGTGTGGACTATTCCTCTTGTTTACAAGTCTCATGCCTATCAAACTTTTCTCCACTTTCGACAATATGTTCTCACTCAATTTGAACGTCCCGTCAAGTCATTTCAAAGTGACCATGGTCGGGAATTTGACAATGACCCATTCAAATTATTCTGTGTCAAAAATGGGATGGTTTTTCGCTTCTCTTGTCCACACACATCTTCATAGAATGGCAAAGCCGAATGCATGATCTGTACTCTTAACAATGTTAAGTGTACTCTCTTGTTTCATGCTTCTCTTCCCCCTTCTTTTTGGTACCATGCCTTAGAAACAGTAACCTACTTGTCTTATTTGTTACCCACAAAAACTCTCAATCATACCACTCTCGCACAAGCTCTATTTGGGGTCACTCCTTCCTACACTTATCTTCGGACTTTCAGATGTCTTTGTTTTCCCAATCCTTCCTCAACTGCCATCCACAAGCTAGCAACAAGATCGACACCATGTGACTTCTTAGGTTATCCGTCCGAAGATCGAGGGTTCTTAGGTTATCCGTCCGAAGATCGAGGATATAAGTGCTTAGATCTCTCTACCCGCAAAATCATAATTTCCCGACATGTCACCTTCGATGAGCACACTTTTCCCTTATCGAAATTTGACTCTTTTTCTATCAATGGACTATGATTTTGTAGGAAGTGATGACCCATCCCCTTTGGTTCAATACCAAAATTCATTGCACTGCCCTCAACCAAATCCCATGACCCCAAACTTAGCTAATTCTCCAAGGTAGCCCACTCCACAGGAGTCTTGCGGTCCATCCACTTCATCCGCAGCTGGGCCACGGTCCACACTAACCTCCACAGTCAGCCTAGCGAGCGCTGGTATAACTGCGGGCCAAGCAGAAGCAGGGCACCCACCTTCTCCTTCTGGGCCAGTGCCGCTCTCACCCCTGCGGCCCAACTCACCCCCCTTCCATTTTCTTCTGGGCTAGTTTATGATGACAACCCATCTCACCAATTGCACTCCCCATCTAACCCAAATACCTACACACCACGTCCTCTACGAGGCCACATTCCTATCACACCTACTAGACCTCCACCCTTATCACCCAAATGCAAACTCGTGCCAAACATGGAATTTTCAAACCAAATCCAAAGTTTGGTTTATCCGCCATAATTCGTTCCTCGCTTCCAAAAAATCACAAACAAGCCCTTTCCGACCCAAATTGGAATGCCGCAATGCATGATGAATATAGTGCTTTAATTGAAACAAGGACATGAGATTTGATACCTGGGCCTACGAGGGTGAATATTGTCAATTGTATGTGTTATATCGTCATAAAGACACAAAGCTCCTTTATTTTGTGATGGCAGGTCTGAGGTTGAAGTTGTAGATTGTGATGAAACATTTAGCCCGGTTGTTAAACCGATAACTATTTGAACGGTGTTGAGTTTGGCTATGGCTCGTAAGTGGTCTATTCATCAACTTGATGTGAAAAATGCTTTTTTGCATGGTGATTTGAATGAGTGTGTGTATATGCATCAACCCCCTGGGTTTGTTGACAAGAGATTTCTAGGTTATGTTTGCAGACTTCGCAAGGCTCTTTATGGCCTAAAACAAGCTCCACGAGCTTAGTATCAGCGATTTGCTAACTATCTTTTGCATATGGGGTTTATCATTGGTAAGAGTGACACTTCTGTATTCATTTTCCGACATGGGAATGATATGGCATATTTGCTACTATATGTTGACGATATTGTGTTGGTTACATCCTTAGATCACCTACGTGAAAGTATTATTTCTCACTTGCGAAAAGGCTTTCCGATGACTCACTTAGGTCCTTTGAATTTTTTTCTGGGTATTGCTGTTACTTGTACTCCATCTTACATGTTTTTATCTCAGCAAAAATATGCATAGGAAATTCTTGAGCGTGCAGGTATGTGCAGTTGTAAACCTGCGGCAACTCCAGTGGATACACAATCCAAGCTTAGTGCAGACTCTGGACCTAAGTTTCATGATCCAACACTTTATCGCAGTCTTGCAGGTGCATTACAGTACTTCACTTTTACTCGCCTTGATATAGCTTATGCAGTTCAGCAGGTCTGTTTATTCATGCATGATCCCAGAGAGGCTCATTATGATGCATTAAAACGCATCCTGCGAGATATTCAGGGTACCATTGATCACGGGTTACATTTATATCCTTCACCTCCTACAAACTTGATTACATATACAAATGTAGATTGTGGCGGGTGTCCGGACACTCGTTGCTCGACCTCGGGTTATTGTTGCTTTTTAGGGGACAATCTTATTTCCTGGTCTTCAAAGCGCCAGCTTACTCTTTCTAAATCAAGTGTAGAGGCGGAATACAGAGGCGTCGCAAACGTTGTTGCTGAGGCTTGTTGGCTTCGTAATCTTCTTCTGGAGTTACATTGTCCTCTTCGGTAGGCTACTGTTGTTTATTGTGATAATGTCAGTGCAATATATTTGTCTCATAATCCCGTACAACACCAACGCACCAAGCACGTCGAAATGGATATTCATTTCGTCCGAGAAAAGGTGGCGTTGCATGTATGGGTCCTTCATGTTCCATCTCGGTATCAGTTTGCAGACATCTTCACGAAAGGCCTACCTCGACAACTATTTTTGGAGTTTAGATCCAATCTTAGCTTACGTCCTCCTCCTGCTATGACTTGGAGGGGGGGGGTGTGATAGAATATACGATAGATATTCTGTTATTAGAAGGATATATTTTGTGAATATTGTACAATTATCTTTTGAGATCTCCTAACGTGATTAGGACTCATGTTTGTAACCCTATATATATGATTCAATGGAAGTCACTTCAATCTAAGGAGTTTGATATTATCTGACAAATAATTTTTATTTAATTGAGTAATTATAAACTATGTTTGCATTTGATACATCACTTAAGAGAATATTCACTACATGCCTATATAATTAATATATGTTCATGTTATAAGCCTATTACTCGTACATGGATATGAAGTAGGTATGTAAATGTGAAGACAAATATTCACTACACAATCTGATTATCCACTAAAATCATACTCACATACTACTATTTAAGAAAGATAAAACATTGAACTTATTAAAATGCCTTTCAGATACACTCTTGCTTTTTTTTTGAATAATAAAAAAAAAAAAATTAAATACTCTCCTGCTAGAACCATATTATCCAGTATCATAAATTTGTCATTACAAAAAGTACATTAATACGACGAGTACTAATTACGTGAGATGTAATTGTGATGAATGTTGTAATAAAATGTTGACAAGGATGAATATGAAAAATAAAAAAGTAAAATATCGCGTTGTTCGTTGATGTCATTAATCTCATTATGTAGTGTTAGTTGAATTCACCGAATTAGTTGATAACTAATGAATGACATAACACTATAACAGAGAGAAAGACAATGGAAGGTACATTGTGTTGTTTGGCTACAAGTGTCCCATTGAGTTGCTTGCTTCATCTATGATTGCATAAGCATAAGCGGTTGCTTGTTGAATTGTTATTAATTCAATGATAAGATTGGCCTTTCATTTCACCCAAATTCTTAAAAATGGACTATGAAGCATATTAATATTCTCCTTAGCTTCGTTTAAATAGTGGAATAATACTCCTTGATTAATTTTTTTTTTTTTTATAGCAATTTTGACATCTAGTTAGTTTTCTATAGTTTAATTTAAATAATATCAACTGTATAGACATACATAAAAGAGAAAGACTGCTACCGAACAAGCTTAATACTCCATCTATATTTTATTACTTGTTCCATTTTTCTTTTACGGTAGTATTTTATTACTTGCTTCATTTTCTTTTTTAGAAACTTTAAACAATTTCTTACTATTTTTCTCCTCACAGTGGTCCCCACAAATATTATTTTAATAATTATCATATTTTCTCTCCTTTTCACTTATACTCGTTTTTGCTTTTTTATTTTTTATTCAACCAACCTCACTTCATCATATTTTATTGCTTTTCACTATTCCTTCTAAAATTTCGCGCATAGAGAAATGAAACAAGTAATAAAATACGAAGGGAGTAATAAACAAGATAAGCGAAAAAAAAGAAAATGAAAATTACTAAAATATCCCTTATCTTAAAATTGCCTCCAAACTATTGGATAAATACCTAATTTAACCTACAAGGCTACAACAACTTAAAATTCAATCATCTTTCATACAATGTTCGTTTGTGATCTATATAAATTCTCTCAAACGAATATCAAAATCGAAGTTGTAAAATCAAACTTATATCATAAGAAAATGATAAATTCATGTCGGTCATGTAGTTGGTTTTGTCGTTTAAGTGGGTATGATATGCCCTATTGGCATTGCCCTTGCCTTACACGAGCTTGCTCATGTGCTTAAAGGGAAGAACCACTCACTAGAGTCACTACAAATTAGGAGGTCTATTTTCGTAATTTCACATTTTGTTTTGTTTTTCCACCTACTAAAAATGTGTTTTTATTAGAATTTATTGGAATTTGGATCTCACTATTTTTAGATATTTGGAAATTATTTTCTTCATTTTCAGACAACTTTTCCATATTTATAGTAGCAGCACACTGCTAGTGAGTGAGTCAAATCTTTTTAGTATAGCACCCAATTTGAACTAATTAAACCCAGATTTTACAAAAATTCTTGATTAAACCCAGATTTAGCAAATCAATTTTGACTTCAGTTTTGTTTACACTCAGATTTTGCAAAAATTCTTGATTTTTTTAAACTGTAGAATTAATTAAAAAAAAATCAGAAAAAATGCAGGGTGGTCAAATGATGCTTGAAGAGCCTGTTCGTCTCTCCTCTGTTCTTACTCCCACTAAATCGGTACTCCTTTTTATTTCATCTTTTAATACTCTTGAATTAATATCTAATGTAAATTTATAATTAATTAATTAATTAATTATGTGGTTAATTGGCTGCACTTGAGTTGGTGTTTTTGTTGAGATGGGTAATATCTGCAATCTGTATTATTCCCTCTATTTTCTTGATCTACCCACTTATTGTAGATTCTTGTTTTTAAAAACTTTGATAAAGTAGGTAAATATAATAAAAATATGATGAATTTATAAAAAATGTGAGAGAAAATGTGTAATTATTGTAAGATGAGATTTATGAGAAAAGAGAAAAGTTGTTGATAAGAGAAAAGTTGTAACTTTTAAGTGTTAGCTTCATTCATTTGCACCAAAAAAGAATAAAATAATTTTATTGTGAGCAAATAATTGGAATAATAACAATTTTGTAAAAAAAAAAAATAAATAAATAAAAAGTCATTGAAATTGTAGTTTGATGAGTGGATTAATTTTGGCAATTCAATCCTAATGTATTAGTGAAAGTGACTGTTTTCAGAAAATGTGATTATTTGGGTGAATGGCTGAGGCTTTAGGGCCTCATCTGTTCAGCTTAATTTCAGTTCCGTTCAACTCGACTCAGCTCCAATCAGTTCAGTTCTTAATTTTCTTCTCTCATAAACAATTCATTTCAGCTCTTTCAATTCAGCTAAGTTCAGCCCCAATCAATTCAGTTCAGTTGTTTTCAGTAAATCGGAACAGGCCCTTAATCCCTTCAAAAAAATCTATTTGATTAACCAAGCTTATTATTGCTGAAGTTAATTTAGACCTGTTATTTGTTATAAGTCTTACAACTAGCAATTTAGACCTGTAATTTATAATATTACTCCGTTTAGAATTGCATAGTTGTTTTTCTTTGGTGTTCTATTAAGAAAATATTGATTTTACATGCACTTCAAGTCTGATTTGCACTTTATTTTGACTTTAAGGTCCTTATCCTGTCAGTCTTGTTTGATTGATGTATTTTTTATGGAAAATGCTTAATTGGATTAATCATTAAGAATGGAGCAATGGTGCCTCTCCATTAAAAAAGGTTAGATTACAAATGTGTAGGAGAGTTCTTGGATGATAGTCTGGTTTTACTTGTTTATTGAACTTTAATTCTGACATAAGTTAGGAATAGTGCCTGCTCCATTTTTAACATAATGTGCCAAAACATAATTAACTGGTGGTCTCTATGAAAAATTTATTGAACTGATCGTAGTCAAAAGCTAACTTGTATAACTGTCTGGCTGATCATCTACAGACCCTATTCTCACAGGAAAAGAAGGGGCGGAGGGATTAGGGAGGCCTAAAAATTGTTAATGATGCTGATCAATGTATATGTATAGTTAAGTAAACTTAGGTGGATAAATGTAGTCGATATTACTTTTGTTTCTAATGTTTTTCTACTGTTAAGTTTCCGTCATTCTGTGAGATTGTTGATCACTTAACAGGAGGGTAAATCATTGGTGAATATGCTTCTAACAAGATTTTATGCAGTAGTTTATGCTCCATCAATCTGTTATTTTTCTTAATTCTTGTATGCTTGATGCTCTCTCAATTATTCTCATCTCAAGCAATGAATAGGAATGTATTATCTAATGATCTTCAATAAATTTGTGTGCAGGATTTTTCTCCATCGTTGACAAAAATTATGGTAACTTTAGGACCAAAGTCTCGTTCTGTCGAGACTATTGAGGCTTGTCTAACAGCAGGAATGTCAGGTAAAGTTTGATGTGGTAGTTCTGTATGCTTCAAACATGTTAGCAGAGCATTTTGTAAAGTTAGTTCTGTTTACCATCTTCTTTTCTATCCCTGCAGTTGCACGATTTGACTTCTCTTGCTTTGACTCTGATTACCATCAAGAGACCATTGACAATTTGAGGGCTGGTGCTAGAAAAGCTAAAAAGCTGTGTGCTGTAAGTTAATCTTCAATTGTAGTTCATGATACTGGATAGATATACTTGGCTAAGTGATTTTCGTACTGGAATGACACTAAAAAATGCCTTGTAGGTTATGCTAGATACCGTGGGTCCTGAAATCCTAGTTTCTAATAAAACTGGTAATCCTATTGAGCTGAAAGCTGATAATTTTGTGACGATCACTCCGGATACCACTAAAGAGCCATCATCAGAAGTTTTGCCAATCAACTATGTGGGATTTGCAAAGGTATGACATTTTTTATTTCCTTGGCTGTGCATATATTTCCACGAGGCAATTCCCTTTGCTGTAATTAACAATTTAACTAGCTACCAGGTTTTCCTGTATCCTATGTATTATGTAAGCTTTGCACTCTTTCATATATGCCTATGTTTTCAATATAGCTGTTCTCATTTTCTGTTTCTTTTGGATTATCTTTTCAAAAACAATTTTTCCCCTGAAAGGATGTTTATTTTTTTATTTTTACTATCAAAGATTAATTTAAGAAAATGATGGGGTTATTACAGTGCCTGCAAAAAATATTGTTGACTGGATGCCTTTTGTGTACTAAAAGGATCTGAACTAATATATAAAACCTATCACAATAGCTGCTGCTTCTGTTTCTAAACGATCCCTGAACAATTTTCTCTGATCGCAGGAAGTGAAGAAAGGTGATACTGTTTTTCTTGGGCAATATCTCTTCACGGGAAGTGAAACCTCATCCGTATGGCTAGAGGTGAACACTGCATCCAGGCATTCTTTTGACTCTTTCTCTAATGCACTCCTTGTAATTCTTCTGTATCTTTATTATTTATATTAGGTATCAGAGACAAAGGGTGCAGATATCATCTGTCAAATAAAAAATAGTGCAACATTGACAGGATTAAACTTCAATTTGCACATTTCGGGTGTTCAGGCCGATTCATCTACTCTAACTGATATTGATAAACAGGTAATCATCTCTTTTCATGAATGCTTACATTGAGCTCAATTTTATCCCAGTTGCGGAGCTATCAATATTAATGTGTGGGTTCGTATGTGGATTCATTTCCACCATTGTTGTCTTTGTTGAGGTAGGAACTACGGAAGCATATTTTTTTATTGAAGAAGGATTTACTCCTAATAACATCGTTGTATTCTGCCCCTATCTCATCCTCAAACTTATTTACACAACATATCCTCAAGGATCAATATTTAATGTGCATTTTATGTAAAGTTGAGTCAATTTTGCATACATTTACTGAAAAGTTGAAGGATCAAGCTTGATGCATATTTTTATTTTCATCAGAAACTAAATTGGCTGGAATATCACTCTCTGTGTTGCTTTCACTTCATGAGTTCTTGTGGACATTTTTTTAAAAAAATATGTTATTTCTATTGCTTTAATTCATTGGGACATTATTTTTTTAACAGATTATTTCCACTTGGGGCTCTCACAATAAGGTTGATATTATTTCCTTGCACTACACCCGCCATGCGGATGATGTCCGAGAGGTCAGTTTCTTTTTCAATTCTCTACTGCTGTGTTTTATTGATTACTCTTCCTGTGTCTCATATTGTCATCTTACATAGTGATGGTGAATTTTGAGATGCTGAAGATAAAGAAATTTACTTGAGCAGAAAACGCCTAATTGTTAGAAATCACTAATATAAGGCGTGTCTTAAAAACTGAAAAATAGTGATATATAGGAGATACAGTAAATATAAAAGCTGAGATATGCTCATACACTTTTTATATTTAAGATCCTATTTTGTAAGGCTCTAAGTGCTTTTAGTATTCCCCCCACCCTCCCCTTCATTGCTGATGTAATCAAGCTGCACCTTGTTAACAATATTATGGGTCCTCATCATATTTATATTCTTCTGCCTGTCTCTGTCAGGTCAGAGCATTCCTTGCAGCTCATAATCTCCAAGATACCCAAATATATGCTAAAGTTGAAACAGTGGAGGTGAGCTTCTATGAACTGTATGCAATGACCATTTAGAAGGATTGATATCAGAAGGATCGATAACGTATCAATCCTGTCTGTGATTAAATATATAAATTTAATCCTCCAGTAGTTTAGTCCTATTTATTTTTCTTATGTGCAATATATTACAGGGATTGAAGCATTTCGATGAGATCCTAAAAGAATCAGATGGTGTGATCCTTGCTCGGGGAAATTTAGGAGTTGACCTTCCTCCAGAGAAGGTCAGTTTATTTTTCTCTGTGCCATTGAAAAAATTCAATAAGTTCTGGTTTACTTGTGTACCTTTTCCCTGAAATTTGCTTATCTGAGCTAACTAGAACTTATCAATACTTATTATAACATGCTGTTGTGAATTGAATTTGAGTTAACCTTGTTTGGAACTTATCTGGACCATTTATGTTAGGGTGAGCAGAACATGACCTAGTGGTCAAATCTGCCACGAGAACTCTAATTTGTTTGCTTAGCTGGGATAGAGAAAAAGGTAAAATGAATAAATGATCTAAGCTAGTATAGAGAATCTTCATTTTTACATATTCTATTCAAAAGAATTGTAAGCTGCACAAATGAGTGCACAATTAGCTTGATTATGCATATATATGCATCAGAATGGCATGTATAAATTTTATCTTTAGCCTCACTCACTCTAACACAGAAGATTATAAGAAGATAAATATATCATTAAAAGAAATTGCTCATTAATTTGGGGAAATTGGCAAGATATAATTGTATTTGGCAACAATCAGGGTGAGAATCGCCAAAAAAACCCAAGCTAACTTTTGAGAGGCTGGCACTGTCTCAAGCTCCATTACTTACTACTTTTCTAAATAATCCTGTACTGATCAATTGTTTTCCTCTCATGACAACCTCCTGCCTTGCACAATACTCAAGGGCTAACTAACTACAAAAATGCCACTACTTTCCCGATAATCTTTCTCACCCCAACTATAATCTACTCTGCTTGGTGATTACATTCTTCCCTTAATCCTTTATTCTTGAACAATTTTAGCATTACAGCGGGTCTAGGATGGTTCTCTGCTAAAAAAAACTAATCTCTTGTTTATTTCAATATACTTCTGCCGTCCCCATCTACTTGTCCATTAGTCATTTGCACAAGATTTATACTATTATGCAAGTGAAGTAGAGAGAAAAATATGGTTAGAAAAGTGCGGGACCCAATTCAAGAGATAAAGTAGAGAAAGAAAGTTTCATGAAATGAAAATGGGGCAAATAAGTTGGAAGACCCCATAAAAGAAAATGAAACAAGCAAAAAGGGACTGATGGAGCATTGCTATTATGTTGTGTAAGAATTGCCATTCTTTGTTTTTTTTCCTCCTTGCTTGGAAATCAGCCACCTCAGGGGTCAAGCATTACTTTCCCCTTTGTTTCCCTCTCTCCTTTTCTTGGAAGCCAAATAAGTTGAATCTAAGTATATCCTGATGGTACATCTTAAGTATCCTAGTTGTGTCTGTCATTTTTGTACAACTGCATATTTCTTGGGGTGGTTTCATACGTTATAGAAAGGATTTGTTCCACAGTTTATTTTGATAAATACTGATTAATGCTTGGGTTTTTTTCTCTAGGTTTTCTTGTTTCAAAAATCTGCTGCATATAGGTGTAACATGGCTGGGAAGCCTCTTATTATCACCAGAGTAGTGGATAGTATGTTCGGAAATCTGAGACCAACTCGAGCAGAAGCAACAGATGTTGCCAATGCTGTGTTAGATGGTTTGTAAACTCTTCTTGTTTAAAGCTGTTTCCTGACATAGTTACTTCAGAAATTTCATTTTTTTTCATTTTCTGGGTGTTGTCTACAGGTGCTGATGGCATTTTGTTAGGTGGAGAGACTTTTGGTGGCTTATATCCCATTGAAGCTATAAAAACTGTTAGGAAAATTTGTTCTGAAGTGAGTCTTCTATCAACTAAAACTGTTAGGTTTCATTGTTTCTGTTTCATGAGTTTATGAAAAGCAGGAACTGAGCTACCCCTCTATGAAAAGTAAGCAAATAATGACTACTAAGTACAACATTTTACTTAAGTCTATTCTCTTCACTTTATTTAAATAATATTTAGTAAAAAGAATTTCAGTTCAGTAAAAATTAGTAACTTTCAGGAAGAAAAAAATAATAGAAAATCAGTAAAATTAATTTTTAATTAGTAAAAAATAATTTAAGCTAAGCGATAAATAATTTCTGTGTAGCAGAAAGAAGGTGAAGAGAACAGGGCTTTACTATTGTTTCAGTCCACTATAATAAAAAGCTGAAAAATTACTGACTATTGACTTGGGATGCTGCTTCGTGTAGGCTGAATATGTATACAACCAAGAATTAAATTTCAAGCGTATTGTCAACTACGCTGGAGAACCTCTGTCTCATGCTGAATCTGTTGCTTCATCAGCGGTACTATATCTGGCCACTCTATTTATTATAAGTCACTTGTGCTGTATGTTAGATGCATATGCAATATATATATATATATATATATATATATATATATATATATATATATATATATATATATATATATATATATATATATATATATATATATACTTAGTAGTTAGTAATGAAGTTTCAACCTTCTCTCCTTGATCAGTAATCTATTGGTCACTTAAGTTTTCTGAATATCTCATGGTAAAATAACATATTGAGGCTACCCATTATATAGGTACGGGTTGCTATCAAAGTACATGCAGCTATGATTGCTGTGTTCACCTCATCTGGGGCAGCAGCAAGGTGTATTTTCATTTATATGATATTGAAAGTTTTACAGTTGAATGCTTTTTTTATTACTATTTGTATATTTTGTTATAAATTTCTGTTGACAATACATTTTTAGCTCAATTTAATCTCATTTTTTTCTTTGAATAGGTTGATTTCTAAATATAGACCATCTATTCCTATCTTTGCAATTGTCACTCCTCTTGTGAAGTCAAATACTATAAAATGGAGTGTCACTGGTTCAATGCAGGTAGCATTTCTTCTCATAGATTATATACACAAGACTACTCCGTATCCTTTTTGGCCTTTTTATCAGGGTTATTATTTTTCAGTTTGCTTCCTGTCTTCCTGATTCCTAAATGTTTATTTTTATTGTTCAGGCACGACAGTTGCTTGGTGTACGTGGAGTTTTTCCTCTCCTAGCAAGCGCTGAAGCTGTAAGAAATTTTCAACTTATCTCTTTCCAAGTAATTGTATTAAATCATTTCCCAAAAATAAAAAATATAGTATATTTGTGAAAAGGATGTCATCAATACTCTATGTTGGACTCAGATAATCTGTGGAAATAAATTGGCAACTGAAGTTAGCTAGATAAGATCGAAGTTTGAAGTTTGATCTCATCACATTCTAATCTTCTTCTAGTTTTTCTGCATTAAACTCTGCAGCTTGCTACTTATTGCGCAGAAGCATATAAAATAGTTAAAAAAATAGGACTTGAATCCAAGGATTTTTTTCTGAATATTCTGATAATTTTGGTCTTTAATTTGTTCAAAAACTTAAATAGTTGCTCATATGTTGTTTCTCATAAGCTATTTGTTATGTATCTCTAAATTTCTTGACAGTATAACAATTTTGTTAGACTTCATTTTTTTTTCCGGTGAGTATTTTGTCCGACCAAAGTTGATTTATAGACAATTAGACATATTGACTCGTTTTTTTTCATTGATATATGCTTTGTATGTTATTTTCTCCAGGCCAACATAGGGGTTGTCAATGCAGAGTCAGTGATGAAGCTCGTTTTTCATCACGGCAAAACCATGGGACTACTGAGACCCAAGGACAAAGTGGTTGTCTTTCAGAAGATTGGGGATTCGTCAGTTGTTGAGATTGTCGAGTTTGATGACTAATAGCAACAACCTTATGCCGCGCTGTTCTTAGATTTCAGTTTTCATCTTGTGATTGCTTGGATTGTTCATTAGACACACTACAACCCAAGCATTTGAATTTAAATTTTAAGGTTGATAGCTTGTGCTTTGACATTCAAGTATAGGAATAATCAAGCTTAGATTGTTAGGAAAAGAACGTGTTTGTTTAAAATGTAAAGCTACCACATTGTTTAGCTTATATATATACGTGTTCTTTTCACAATCAATAAAAAGGAATTGGTATCTTTGACTCAATACACTTGAGATGGCTCTATGACTTCTGTTTACAAAATTTCATGCTTTTAAAATTAGAGAAATGGATCAAATCTGTTAGGATTTAAGCTGCTGTTTCCTATTTGTTTTGTTTTGTTTTGCTGTTTGTTCTAGTTGGTCTGTGTTGTTGGTGTAATATTTTTGCAGCTTATTTAATATTTTATTAAAATGAAATAATTTTTGCTATACTTAAATTATTTATACGGATTAAAACTTTGTTTCTACCTATTTCCTATTATATTGACGGATGAATTGTTTATTTTGTCATATTCTCAGCACTTCGTGTAAAAATATTGGTGTTGGCTAGGAAATTGGAACTTGTTCGTTTGTGAGATGTGAATGAAACAATTTTTAGCGTAGATGCATAATGAGACTTGTGTTGGCATTTTCAAATGTGCTAATCATAGGAGTGAATGTTTGCTTTTGTTAATTTTTGTGAAAGTTTGATCGGGCTTCTAGATTGAGCCGTACTTTTTATGCATTGTTAGAGAGAAGCAAATTGATGCATGGTTGCGTCATGAAGTCATTGAGAAAGCAATAAAGCAAAATCATAATTGTTTTCGTTTTTAAATACTCGCAACACTTGAGTTTGCAAGTGGTTTTAGTTGTGGCCTTGTGGGTAGTACATAAAAACAAATGAACAAATAAGTAAGAGAATTAAAGATGTACAAATACAAAGCACATTGTATTACGGAGTACTTTATTATATAAACAACAAGGTACAGTGATATCATTTAAAAAAAAGTTAATGCTGTAAAATTGTAGATGCAAACAAAAAAAAGTAAGTGTTGCAAATGCAAATATTTGAAAATGACTATTGTAATATGTTAGTGGCTAATTCAATCTACCATTAAATTATTTTAATGATACATAATTTTTTAATTCTTTTATCTGATTAAACAAATTTTATTTTATTTATTATTATTTTTTTTTACCTTAGAATGCGCATCATAATCTTGCGTGTAAAAATCTTTATAATGTTGATGACTTGATGTTGATACCCACTTTCAGATTCTGTAATAGTAACCAGATATTCTTATTAATCAGCGTTGTTCTTGAATCCGACTGCATTTCTCGCTTACATTCTTTCTCTCTCCTCGAAAAATCTAGCAGTTGAACTTTAACTGTAATTTTCTTCAAGATTTTACTTAATTTAGCTCATTAACCCTCTTATAAACCCTACATTTTTTTTTCCACACCTTCAAAAATGGCGGCTTCTCTTTCTATCCCACCTTCATCTCCTTCTATTTCCTCTGATTTTAACTCTCATGTATGACTTTTTTTCTTCCCCAATTTCCATTTTGTTTGCCCTAATTAGATTAATTTGTACTCTAATTGTATTGATTTCAGTGGATTTTTTATATGATTTTTTGATTTTTTTTTTCAGAAATACGCATTTGGGGTTTATCCGGTGAGAATCGGATTCAATTCGCCGATTTTCGGGGCGAAAAATCGCACATTTGAGCTCAATTGTATGAAAGATAAATCCATGGATGTTAAAACTGGAGCTTTGGTTGATGCAGAGTGTTTCAATGGTGAGTTACTTTTATACTTTATCCCCTCCATTCATTGAGCTATTTTTATACTCCCTCCGTTTCTAAATGTTGATCTGACTTTGACCGTCTCACGAATTAAGTTGTATTTTTGTATCAATGATTAGTATTTTAGTTGCAAATTGATATATGCACTCCTAAAGTAAGAAACATTAAGCATATTCCGAGTATTAATAATCGACGAGTGGTTTTTAGTATTGTTGATATAAATTAAGTAATCTATTCATTTTTATGATTGGGGTTTGAATATAAACTGTAGAAATGGAGGTTAAGGAGCCAAGTGTTGCGACAATGTTAATGAATTTCGACAGCAGTTTTGATCCTTATGGTTCGATGAGCACACCATTGTATCAGACAGCCACTTTTAAGCAGGCAAGCTATTAATTACTCACATTTATCCATTCTATTTGATGATTTAGGATGATGTATAGTGTAAGAAAGTATGTGATATTTAAAAATTAAAAAAAAAATGCTTAGAGACAATTATTTTGGTGACTGGGGGTTTATTCCGCAGATATAGATAAGCAATGTGATTGTTATTATAGATCATCTCCAATGGTGCGTCATTTCGAGTTTCATTACCTTTTTTTTTTTTTAGAGCTGTGAGTTTCATTACCTTATGTAACGCATAACTACTCGTATTTATTGATCTCCAATTTGGAGGTCTCTAATTTTATTTGATATTTAAAGACTTGTATATCCGTTGGTGAGACCCATCAAATGAGTCTCGAATATAAATACCTTCTATTTATTAGTGCATTGCGGGCTTTTTATTTATTTATTTTTTAAACTGAAATTTTTTCAAAAATGAGTTGCTGGAAGAAGTTTCAATTTTGCTAACCTGTCCAATGGGGATCCCTCTTTTATATCTCTTATTTTAGCCCCTCATTGGCTGTTGGAGATGCGCTTGCTCCAATTATAATGATCATTGTGTACTTATTATGGAGTATAAATTTGAAAATGCATGGATTAGAATCTAAGCATTAATGGTTGGAGTATGTAATTGTGGGCATGTATAGATCTCTATATATTTCTACTGTATTAAGCGGAGTTTAAACATATATGTAACTTTTATTTGTTTTGATATACTGTGCCTTGCTACATGAAATTAACTATCTCAGCTATCCTATCAGTTCTGACTTGGATGACTTCCATTGTCATTATCAGTTTCTGCTACATTAATCTGATATTATTGCATGCTTAATCTTCTCATATCTAGCCATCAGCAACAGATAATGGTCCTTACGATTATACAAGGAGTGGGAATCCTACACGTGATGTCCTAGAAAGGTAATATTTCACTAGTCCAACATTTCATTTAACATTGGCTCGTATCTTTTGTTTTCACGTACAAACCATAATCTTTGTGAAAATTTACATTAATTTCCCCCCTTTTTACTATCTGTATGTTGCAGACTCCTGGCACAGCTGGATAAGGCTGATCGAGCGTTCTGCTTTACTAGTGGAATGGCTGCTCTTGCTGCTGTCACTCGTCTTATTGGAACTGGTATTGCTATCTTTTGTCTCTTCAGATTCATATTCTTCTTGTCAGGAATGAAATCTTTGTACAGTATGCACTGTTACTTATGAACAATTCGTGGTCAGGATTTACTAGCCAAACTGTTATGACCTCTAATTTTTTTTATTTGTACAATATAATAATGTTTTTGTATGATTACATGTGCTGCTGGTAGCTTGTTCATTACTCTGCCCCTGGTGATAGGTTGATTCTACTTGTGTTAATGCTTCCACACTCTTATTTTCTATTCTGATCTAGGCCAGGAAATTGTTGCCGGAGATGATATATATGGTGGATCTGATCGATTACTATCACAAGTTCTTCCAAAAACAGGAATTGTGGTGAAGTTAGTGATTCTTCCTGTTCTTGTCATGTTTAGTGTATTAATGTTATGTGACATTCTGATGATCTAAAGATTTGCAGACGAGTGAACACATCTGATTTAGAGGAAGTAGCATCAGCAATTGGACCTTGGACAAAGCTTGTCTGGCTTGAGAGTCCAACCAATCCTCGACAACAAATATGTGATATTCGTGTAAGTTACATGGCTTTAAAAGTGTCTCTTTCCTTTTGTAAGAAATCATGGAAATGTTTGGGGATGAGATATGCTTGTCTTAAAGATGGGTTTATATATTAGTGTGATAATAGAATTGTGATGAGCATATTTCAGATTTTGTTGAGAAACATTTGAATGTTTTTCTTCTTTACTCCAATTTAGAAAATTTCAGAGTTAGCTCATGCACATGGTGCTCTTGTACTGGTTGATAACAGCATCATGTCTCCGGTTTTATCCCAGCCATTGGAACTTGGTGCAGGTACTCTCTAAAGTGATGATAGTTGACTTTTCCTATAATGTCTGTAAGGTAGAATTTTTAGAGCTATTTCTTTTCTACCTTTTTTTATATACTTTTGCTTGGTGATGGCAGATATTGTGATGCATTCAGCTACTAAATTTATAGCTGGGCACAGTGATATTATGGCTGGCGTTCTTGCTGTGAAAAGGGAAAGGTAATGTAACCTGTGAGCCTATACACCATCCCTGTTGTCTGAATCCGAAAGATGCTTCTCTTTCTGGTTTTGCAATTAATGTGCCCCGTGTCCCACTCAGTGTCACTATAAAAGTTCTGTAAGATTTTAGTTGGGAGATGATGAAAAATGATTTGAGCATTTTACATATTTGATCTTATTACTTCCTCCATTTTTTATTATTTGCATCACTTTGACTAGCACATTTGCCGAGATGTAATTTTGACCATTAATATCTTTTATTGTCTATTAGTAAATATTGTAAAAAAAAATAAAAAAATTATGAAAATAGACATTGTTACTAATCTAATGATATATTACATAATAACATTTATTCATTTTAAAATAGTAAAAAAATTAAGTCAAAGAGAGTATGTGATTAGTGCTTAAGTCAAAATGATGCAAATAATAAAAAACCAAGGGAGTATTATTGAAGATGCTTGGATGTAGTCATGTAGAAGTAAATTTGTCCTTAACATATTTTTGATGCATCTCTTATCAAGGGGCTACATGCTGGGTTATTAGTAAAAAATGAAGTTGAGTAATGGTGCCTTTTTACAGTTTGTAACAATACTTCTAACTATGTATTTATGTCTCATATTCTTGATTTCTGACACATACATTGTAAAACCATGTAGCTTCATTATGCTTATTTATTTATGGATAATTAGCTGTCTATAATAAGTTATTCAGTAATCAGTATTTAAATACTTAAGCTAAATGTCATATTTTTTTTCCTGGAGCAGTCTGGCAAAAGAAGTGTATTTCCTACAAAATTCTGAAGGCTCTGGATTGGCTCCATTTGACTGTTGGGTTTGTTTGCGAGGCATCAAGACCATGGCCCTCCGTGTTGAAAAGCAACAGGTGCTTCAATATATTTATATTATCGCCTGAAAAGTTACATGTGCAATTAACTCTTAATTTTTTTTTAAATTCTTCAAGCTATATCTTTTTTTTTAAAATGAATATGCAGTTGACAGCATTGTGTATTTGTGAGCATTGCTGTTCTGTTATCATGATAGATGCTCCTAGGTCGAAACTTGAGGTGGATGTGCACAAATGATGTGGACTTGATGGCTGAACCATTACACATATCTAATTTCTTATTACCTGATTAATAGAGATATAGTATCCTGGTTTTCTTGCCGTGAAATTGGCTTGATATGAATTTAGTATATGTTCTACTTCTCTATCATCATGGATTTTGTTAAAGTAATGTTCATTAATTTTTAACTATGTTGGATATGGGCAATGTGTCACAGTTGGATTTTAACACAAAGTCATCTATCCCAATCCTTGGTGAGTCTTGGTGAGTCTGCAGACTCTGCACATATAGGTCACGTCAATGCTGTTTGATAGAAAAAAACATAAGAAAAACTTCCGCACTTGATTTCAGCTGATGGAATGAAAAATGCTGCTAACTTGCTAAGCACACAAGATTGCTTTACCTTCTAATTGCTTGGTACTCAATAGTAATTATGTAGTTAGATAAGATCCATTTTCTTATTATGTTTTCCAATCATCTTTTATGTGGAACCACCGTTACCTAAATCTCCTATTTTTGTAGTTGGAGAAGATTTATCAACGTGTTCTTCTTGTAATCATCTTTCATTCAGAATAGCATATATCTTTGCTTGCTTGTGGATCTCTTACAGCTTGTGTATGGACTGAAAGATGGACAACCTACCTATGCAAGTGTTTGCTTGTGACAATCTATTCTTGGATTAAAACTGTTTACTTTCAACTCACGCTCTTGTGGATCAGCATATTTGTTGAATTGTTGGTTTGAAGAAATTATTTTTCCTCGTTACACTCATATGCGCTACTTCATACTTGCGACAGGATAATGCACAGAGGATTGCTGAATTTCTCTCTTCTCATCCAAGAGTTAAGAAGGTCAACTATGCTGGACTTCCTGATCATCCTGGACGGTCTTTGCATTATTCTCAGGTGATTTTTACTTATTACTCCTTAAATTATATTATGTGCATATCTTTTGAATATTTCCTTCTGGCAACACAATACTTGCCGGCAATTTATATTTCTGCCTCCAAATAAAAAGATTGCGTACTTGTTGCAGGCCAAAGGTGCAGGATCTGTGCTTAGTTTCCTTACTGGTTCTGTTGCTCTCTCAAAACATATTGTGGAGACAACCAAGTATTTTAGCATTACTGTCAGTTTTGGTAAATATTCTCACTCTTACAATCACCAAGTATTCTAAAAGTGCTTTAACCTTCTTGAATCCCTCTGTGTATTTAAGCATCTTTGGGTTGAGATGTTCGTAAATGAGGACTATATATGCACAATAGATTTCAGCTCATCTATCATTTGTTTGTTTGCCCACACTACACTTGCATTTTATTTATTTTTTTTCCTTTTTCTATTTGTTTTTATAATCCAGTTGCATGTGTAAAAAAGATTTATGTTTTCTATTAATGGGAGTTATATGCCATGGTTTGTACCTAGTAGAGAATAAATAATGCTTGAGGAGATGGAAATGATTAAGCTAATTTATGTTGGTTCCTGAACTTTGAATGTTTTTTGGTTTTCCAGGGAGTGTGAAATCACTTATAAGTTTGCCGTGCTTCATGTCACATGCCTCCATACCAGCTGAAGTTCGTGAAGCCAGAGGTTTAACTGAAGATCTTGTCCGCATTTCAGTGGGCATCGAGGATGTGAATGATCTAATTGCTGATCTGGATCATGCCTTTAAAACAGGACCTGTTTAGCAAAACAATTTTTTTTTATTAAAAAAAAAATCTTAATTGTGAATATTTAAATTTAATTATAAACTTCTCCATTGATTATGAAGTTAATACGAAGTAAGATTTTAATTTTTCAGTCCCAGTTTGTTGGAGTTTAAAACTGGCCTGGCAGTGAAAATCCATTGGGCCATTTCTGCCTCCCTAGATTATTGCTTATACTAGGAAAACAGTGACTTCCTCCTATTAGCTCAAATGGACAGAGATGGGATGCAGGAGCCTGGAGCCGGCTGGGTGGTCTTTGAACATGGGAGCAAGGTCTTGCAGGGAAGCGAGCCTATCTTTGCTGTATCTCCTCTCCAGGCAGAAGCAACAGCTGAACTTTTGGCTCTCAAAAGTTAAAACCTCAAGGGGAAAAATGTTGCCATCTTCCCTGATTCAACTAATTTAATCCACACCTCCATAAGAGTGGGTGAAGTAGAGCGGGAGATCAAGAAGATTATTACAGACATCAAACTATTCTTTTATTTTTTTTGATAGTTTACAGACATCAACTTTAGAGCTGATAATATAATAGAAATGTAATATTTGCCCACATCCTGGCCACCAAACTCCAACATAAAGATAACTAGCATCAATATGTTTTAATAAAAATATCAATAACAAGCTATAAAAAGTTCGATATAAAAGGTTACTCCGTAAACCTTTTTGTGATTGTATATGGTCGATATAAAAAGTTACTCCGTAAACCTTTTTGTGATTGTTACATTTTTCCCAAAAAAAGGAGGCCTTTTATCCAAATGACATGGTTCATGCATCATTTGGGAAAAAAAAAAAAAAAAACATTTGTTCGTAGCTTTATGAATCTTCAAACAACAAAATATACATAGAGAATCCAAGTTTGCATCAATATAAACTGATTCTAGGAGTTGAGCACTGTAGAAATTAAGGGGTTATAAACTGCATTAATTTACTTTCTCAGGTGAGGAAAAAAATCTTTTTTTGGATAGGGAAAATGTACGTTTTATGAGTTAAAAAAAACTAGGTGCAATAAATCGAAAATAAATCATTACCAAGAAATTGCAAAAGGATTTCGGTTTGAAGGTGATACCACGATCACTGGGCTTTTGAGCACATTGCATTTTCACATGTCCCGTTCAGTAAGCTCATCTTAATAATTCTTAAGTTTCTGTATATACCTAATTACCTATGTAGCTGAGAAAAGGATTCTTAAGATTTCAGGCAAAGAATTAATAGGAAAAAAGCCATCTCAGAAGAAGTTAAGCCTAAGCTTACAAATAGAGGTAAACTGTAGCAAAATTCTGGTAGTTGCAGAACATCATAAACCACATACAGAGTAACAACCTAATTCTGTATACCGCCTCCTCTCCCCCCAAATCATAAAACATTATAGCATGAAGGGAACTGTAGCCTAAAATCACGACCTACATCATGAATAAAGTTCCAGTTTTCAATCAAACACAAAAAAAAGAAAAGGCTATGTTTATCAATTTCATCTTACAAAATCCTGATTAGAAGTCACAATAAGACGTTCATTACTCGCCCATTCAGCTTTTCCTAAAATTATACTTTGTATGACTAACCAAACACTAAACCAAAAGTCATTACACATCTCCACAACACTTTGTCTTCTAGACTTGAACTGCCACCCTTCTCATCATGGAAGCATTAACAAATGTTGCAGTACGCACACCAATTTATGTACCTCTGCGAAAAAGTATTTAACTCTACAAAGACTCAGTCTGTCCCTAAAATCATATGTACATATAAATGTTGCCTTGAGTGACAAACTAACCTGCCCACAGAAGAAAAAAGAAGTTAAATACATAGCAGAATTAGCAGTACATACCCTATTCACAGAAGAATCTTTAACACTTAAATCAACTAAACTACTTGGTATGCTAAAATCCTTTCTCCCAGCTCTCCCCCACCCCCACCCCCAACAAAAACAAAAACACACAAAAAAAAAAAAAGTTTTGCTCTTGCACATTGTTTCGACTTTCAACTAGTAACATTTTCTTTTTCATCCGTTTTTAAATTGCAATTCTTCTATATTTAGTAACAGCTCACTATTATTTATTATTCCTCTCTCCCTCTAACCCCACTTACACTACTTTTATAGTTTTATACTATTTCTCTCCCTACCGACTAAATATATTCAAACCAGCTATACTTCACATTATAAAATCCTCACTTTGGTCTCCAGTCCCCACCCTATATTTTTTTTCTTAAACTATGTGCCAAACCTAGTGTAGCGATCAATGTGAAACAAAGGGAGGACTCACAAGAAATTTTTTACATCTTAACTAGTTGTACAACACCCAATGTAATGTCTTCATTACAACAAAGTATCTTTTGTAACCGGCAACATGCTCACTTCTCATTAATCGCTATTATCACAATCCTCCCATTTTACACACCAAGTATTAATGCATCCCAGTATTGATGATTCCCCCCACCCCCCAACAAAGAGCGCACATCTCATGCATATCATCTGACTATCAATTGCTTCCCGACTCCCTACATATCCCATTGCTACTTGTTAAAATATGCCTTGAATCGGGTTTAGGAAGCATTTGGAGTTGCGATGGATTGGAGCTATAGCTCCTAGGCGAGTGAGCTATAGCTCTAGAGATCTCGAGCAAGAGCTTGGTCGCACGCAACAAGCGTGCACAAGCCTGGAAGTTGCGTGCGAGGGCGCGTGGTTTGAGGCGGTTAGCGTGTTTATTTTGGATAGCTATATATAAGTCTAGTTAGGGTTTATTCATATCAACACACGATTGGTGAACCACTTAAATTTGTGTGTCAATTATTGTTTTGCATTCGTTAATTTGTTCTTTCTCACATCCGTTATAACACTACTCATGCAAACCAATTAGCGACCCTTGGCACTCTTAACACCAAAGTGCAGCACAACCTCTGAATCTTGCCATCGACTTGAGTGATTTCTCAGCCACTATCCCCAACAATAGACCTTACAGTGCCAATTGTAAGCATGTCCCCCCCCCCCCCTAAAAAAAAAAAAAAACAAAAGAAAAGACAAAAAAACAGAGAAATGCAAATCCTATAAAGATTAACAAAATGGTAATGTTGAGATTGTTGGCAGTCATTTTTTATATAAGATCAGCTTAATCCATTAAGGTTGCAGCATTCCCAAGCCATCTGTCAATAGTGAATCACAAGGGCAATACACAACAAACCAACCCTACCCTTCACAGAAGCTAAGTTGTCATACAACTGACCCTGCTTGACCTGTATTTCACTTAGCTCTTCTTTTGTAAAATCAGGAAGAATAAAAAAAGCAGCCAAAAAACTAAGCTCTTCCCAGAAATTGAAAATAGAACCCTATGAACATACAAATGACAGTTAAATCACTGATCACCTAAATCAATCAATCAAAGCCTTAATCCCATAAGTGGGGTCGGCTACATGAACCAAATTTGATTATTCCGTGTGGTCATCTACAAAAATCTTCCTCTTCCAACCCTTACGATCCAAAACCCCATCCTCATGCTAGTCTATATACTTCATATCCTTCCTAACTCCTTCCAACCAAGTCATTTTCGGTCTCCCTCTCCCTCGTTTAACCCCTCCATGTTCCCACTCTTCGTACCGGTGCACCCTTGGGTCTCCGTCTTACATGCCCAAACCAACGCAAGCGATTTTCCCTTAGTTTGTCTGCAATGTCTGCCACACTACTTTCGGTAGGGCAGTGATAACCAGTGTAAAACTTTGTCACATCCCATGACATGAGACAAACTAAAATCACTAATCACCTAAGCCATTAAAAATTAAGGAGAAAATCTCATGACAACACTAAGCGAATCACTCATTTTTGGCTATCTCATTAGTTCATGCCTTCTTCTTTGTGAACCTCAAAGTAACACGAAAAAGTTCTAAAGGTCAAATCTTATTCCATCATACATAATGTAGTAGCATCAAAATGGTGAAGTTCAGTTGGGAAGCCGATCTTGACATACACTCATCCACTATGTAGGGTGAGCCAAGAATTTAACCAAAATTGGGAACAAAGACCAGCCAGCAAATATATAGGGCTCTCAAGCCTACCAACATGAATCCTTGGTTTTAGGTTCACTATACTTGAGTTGCAGTATCATGATTAAATAATAATGTAAGCAACCGTTCGACTGATGGGGAACTTCTAACGTTATTTAAAAAAAAAAAAAAAAAAAAAATAAATAAATAAATAAAAAAAAAAAAAAAAAAAAAAAAAAAAACTCACTGCCATTTTGGGCCCCAATAATCACAAAGGTCTTGCCTCCTTAGTTTAATTCATGGACATCACCCTGTATGTTAGTCCAAGTACAGCCCCAAAAAGTCCTTAGTAATGTATATGAAGATTACTAAATTAACAAAAAATCAACAACCCCCCTCCCCCTCAAGTAAACCATAAAGCCGGTTCCCTCATTAGATACTCACTGACCACCATGTTCAGGCTTTGTTCTTCAGGAAAACAATAAAAAGTGATAGGTGAAGAAAGTTCAAAACAATAAAACGCTATCTCAGTTTTAACTAGCGTTCAAAATAAGTAAACTTCAAGCCTAAAAAAGTTCAAAATAAGTAAACTCAATAACAGCCTAACGGGCTACCCTCATCATCCAAACATATGATATCATAGATCTAAAATATCCATAAAGTGCATGGATTTATTAGTCTTCTCACACTTCTCACATCCAAACAATATATCCCAGGAACAATGCACAATCAGGATATTGGTGTAAGAATACGACATATAACATATGTCATATGACATGCAGCAGCAACAACATTAAGGTTCATAACCATTGAATTACAGTTAATCAAACCTGGCTGACAGTATATAACTATATACAGCCAAAGTAAGTTCTGGACAATGATATCTTCCATTAAGTAGATATCTAGACGCCAACTTACATGTGCTTTAGAGCGTAAAAACCAATTTAATAAACACTTTTATCCAATTACTACATGTCTTATAAAAAAAGTGTTTAAGACTACCTGATAACTATTAAAGCATAAGTTGCTACCTGGATTTGGTCCCTTAACCTAAAAAACCCCTACCTAATCATATCTCAAGACTGACACGACATTACTTACACTTTCCAATCCACTAAATTCTGTCTTACTTCCTCTCTAACTGATATCATTTACTTCTTCACTCAACTTTATTGCTCATTTTTCATCAAATTTACTTCTATACTCAAATTCCTCTTCAAACCCCTCCATTTCCTCCTCTTTTTACAACTTCATTCATTCACTCCCTGCCAACTTCATCATTCTCGCTTCCCTTTCACACCATGTCCCACTCTTTCTCCGGCTTATCAATTTCATGGAGCAATCCCAACCATTGAGAGAAGAGAGGTCATGAGACTACAGCAAAGCCTAGAACTTAAGCCTTTGAAAATACACAAGGGTAATTAAGGTGTATGTCATTATATCTAAATTTGTAGTACTACCTCGGCCCAAAAAAGCGTTTCAATTGCTTTTTATCATACAGTTTTAGGTAGGTGATTTTTTTTTTAAAACAAAATAAATAAATAGGGTTTGAATGATTTAAAGTGAATATGCAAAATAGGATGGTGAGATTTGGTTGATAAATGAGTAGAAAATAGATAAAGGTGAATGGGACTTTTATTTAAAAACAAGTTTTCTAGGTGAAATGGGGTTTTTATTTGGAGATAAAGTGATAATATATTGGCGAAAAATTACAGAAATTGCAAAACGAATAGCCAATATAAATGATACTCCCTCCGTCCCAAAAAATTCGATACAGTCAAACATGACACACATGCCAATGTACTATTTTGACCTTATATATATATATATATATATATATATATATATATATATATATATATATATATATATATATATATATATATATATATATATATATAATCATAAGTAAAAAATATAGAAAAGTAGATATTCTGAAACTTTATATTAATGCCTATCTATATTGAATTGTAGTAATGTGTAGTTAATTTGAAAAACTTTTCATTGTATAACTTTAATCCTCTATAATAATATTTAATTTACTTGAAAAACTCTTCATATGTATAACCTCCATATTTAAATTTGACAAATTAATATAGATTATTAAATTTTTCAATCACTTATTAATATTGTTTAACATTAACCCCTTTTATTATTTTTTATTAAATTTATAAATTTATGATGTACCGGAATCGCTCGGGCCAATAGCTAGTTTAACAAAATATATCATGATAATCAAACCCACTTCTCTCTTTCGTCGAAAAAAGGCAAGAAACAAATGATTGATAACCCCTAATCCATCAAACAACAAACTCCTATTTGTTCTTCGTTCCTTCCCTTCGAGAAAGAAAACACACGCTCACACTCAAACATATAGACCCTAAATTTCAACAAAATTCACTAAATTGTCTCAGTCTCTCACTAGGGGGTGTTAACAAGCCAAGCCTGCTCATAAGTAACAAGCTCGAAATAAATTTTTTCTTATTAAAATTTTATTATAAGCTAACTTGTTGCCAAAAATAAATTTTCTATTAAAAACTAAGCTTTGGGGGTTATTGTTTTATTTGGACATTTCCTAAATTGGCCTTTATTCTTTAATCCCTTACCGATAGCATTTACAAAGTTACAACAAAACACAACTACAAAAACCTAGCCTTTTTCCTATTTCATATCCCTTCAAAGCCTTTCACTCTCCTACCGTGAAAGGAAACCAATCGACGGGCCTTGTATCTCCTAGAACCGACCACCGCTCAATGTCTTCTAGGAAATAGCATGTTTTTCTTTTTTCTTTTTTTTTTTGGCAAAGATTAAATTATAATTCATGTTAATTAATCAATGAATTGATATGATACAAGGTCTGCAAGGCTGCAAGCAGCCTAACATCCAAATTTTGATAGAATTGTTATGATTGTGGGTGTACTAAAAAGTTGTATGTTAAAATTCTAAAGGCCAATTATTAGTTTATGCAGGTTGGAAAAAGAGAGGACTTGATTAAAATAAAAAATTTGAGACTAGAAATAACATATGAGGAACGAGCCTTGGGTCGAACTCACGTCTAGAAATCTTGAACTCGTCCTAAGCTCACAGATTCGAGCTCGAATCGGTGTAGGCTAACTCCTTAACAGCCCTAACTCTCACACAGAAATTTAAACAACAAATGCATTTATTTATTTATTTTACTTACATTACAATACAATTTCCAATATCAAGCAAATTCATGAGTTAAACCGCCATAATCGTTGCTTGTTGTCCAAGAGCAACTCCAAGGTTCATAGCCATCTCATGTCTAGCAGCTTTCTATCTATATTAAGCTGGTGTTTTAGAAAAATGGAGTTCAAATATAGAAAGAATGGGGTTGGTTTCAACAAGGCTGGGATGATTTTCAAAAAAAATTAAATTAATAAATTAACCATGGTAATTGATTATTTTACATATTTATCATTAAAATCATTAATGTAATGCCTAATTTATAAGGAAAAATTGCCATCATTAATCCCAACTTCGCTCCATGCGCCCGAATTCATCCTAACTTTTGATTATTTTTCATTAATCCCAACTTTATACCCCTTTAATTTTGAGCACTCCTAAGTGACTTGCAGGCCGGCTATTAGGGGGAGCTCATTGAGCGATCGGGCCCACATATTTTTTTTCATATCTTATTTTTTTTTTAAAACAGACCTGATCTTTGATAAATTTATGTATTGTAGTACTAATCATAAGTGTAACTGCTTCTTCTTAATCTTAAGATGCATCAAAAGATTAATTTAGTTAGCTTAAGTGATTTTTTTTGGGTTCAAATAGAGGAAATGAAGAAGCACTAAAGCAGGGGTTTGGTTTATTTGCTTAATTTTCCTTTTGTTTTGTATTTTTAGATTTTCATTTTTTCTTTTATGTGAGCTTTCATTTTCCTTTTTTCTTTTCTACTTTTTCTTTTAGTTTATTTGTTTGCTTTAATTACCTAATTTCTATTATGTTAACTTTAATTACTTAATTTCTCTTCTTTATTATTATTTTATTGGGTTTAAATTCTTAACTTTTTTTAAATAAAAAATGAGGTATTGGATAATATAGCTTGTGAGGGTTTGATTGATGAATTTGCTCTAAAAAAATGCTCGGAGGACTAACTGTAATCAATAATTTTGGCGAACTTTTTAATATAAAAATTTATGAAATACATTCTCATAATTAAGGGGCCTTTTTTAAGATTTCGCTCCGGGCCCTCAAAATGTCCAAAACGACACCGGTGACTTGGAACCGGCGGAAGTGGTAAACCTTGTTAAATGGGGATTTTTTTTGCCACATGTCGCAACATGATTGACTAAAAAAAAATAAAAATAAAAAAAACCCCTAGCCCCACTCTCGGAACCACCGGGGGTGGTCGGGATTTGACGGAGAAGCAGCAAGGGGGTGGATATTTGACGGAGAAGGCAGCAAGGTGGTCGATTTTTAACGGGGAGGTGGAATCCGATGTGGAAGTGAATGAAAGGGGGCGAAAACGGTGGGAGAAGTGACGGGGAATGGTTAGAATTCGCGGAGAAGGGAAGGGATGGCGAAACACGATGGGGAAGGGAGCAAAATCCGGTGGGGAATAGATGGCAAAATACAGCCACCTGTTAGGGTTTTTATTTTTTTAATTTTATTTTATTTATTTATTTTTTAAAAAATTAGACCAATCACATGCTGACACGTGTTAGTAACTTGCTACATCAAGTTGGATGACCGGTTGGGTACAATGGGAGCAGATTGGGTATAAAGTTCGGGTTAATAAAAAATAAACAAAAATTGGGATTAATTTTGGCGAATGGAGCAAAGTTCGGATTAATCCCAGCAATTTTTCAAATTTATAATTGAAAATAAAGGGCTATTTGTGAAGTTTTAAGATTTTTATAGCTGACCAAAGATAATTAATAATAATTAAGTGTTACCAACTTACCGTTAAGAATTTCCCTTAGAAATTTTGATATACTCCCTCCGTTTTTTAAATTTTTTTTATTAAAATTTACCCCTTTTGCGAAAACTAAGAATTACAATTAATTTAGGAGACGGAAAAAAGTAAAATGTTAATGTGACAATTAAAAATATTATTTGTGAGAGGAAAAGTGGTGTGTCCCATTTTCAAAGATAAAAAGTTATAAGTGTGTAATTTAAAAAGAAACATCCAAAAAAGGAAGTCAAAAGTGAGTAACCTAAAAGAAAAGGGGGGGAGTATAATTTAGGCACAAATTTCTTATTTAATAGTGATATGTTGCGGAAACAAAGGCTTTGCTCACTTGTCTTCCTTCAAAATATGTTGGCAAATAATCTATGAAGTTTACTTTTAACAACCATATCAAGGACCCACCCTTTGATAAAAGATGGATTGATTCAATTCGTGGGGTTTTATAGGGCAAAGGAAAAGTAGACAAGAAGCTATTGTGGGCCCATGGAAAAATGCAGTGAATTTGATTGCCTGAAGCACTAAACTTTTAAGAGAATTGCTGCCTCTTGTGATAGATTATAGAAATAAAGTGATATTGTTGATTGTATCTTTAAAAGCCAAGGCTTGGGGTTTTTAAAAACTATTCTATAATTCTATTGGGCATATACAATGGAAATGGGTTAATGTGTAAATAAATATGTAATTCTATGTGAAAACTAGTCCTCCATCAGTACTTAGAGGCCGTTTGGTTCGCTGTAATGAGGAAAGGGAATGGGAATGATTACCTTTGTTGGTGTTTGTTTTCCCTCTTTTGTCATTCCCATTCCCCCTTCTTATTTTTGGGATTACCCAAAATCCTCCTAATCCCATTCCCCACCCCCCTACCTTTCCCATTCCTTTCCCCAACCACCACCATACCCCTTAACCCTAAACCAACTCGCCGGAACTCGCTGCACCTCGCCGGAACTCGCTGCACCTCGCCGGATGCTCGCCGGCCTTCCCTCGACCCTTGCCGGCCTTCGCCGCCCCTCCTCCCACCCGAAAACCCTTCCCCCACCCACGTATAACCCTTAAAAAACCCTCCCCTCCACCGGAACCAAAGGTCGCACCTCACCAAACGTGGGTTTGGATTTCGGTCATGTTTGTGGGGTTGCGTGGTTGGGTATCGGTCGTGGTTCGTGGGGTTGCTTGGCTGGGTTTCGGTCTTGGTGGTTCTTGGTGGTGGCGTGGGTTTGGATTTGGGTTCGTGGAGGTCTCGGTTAGGTGCGGCCGGTGGGGTGGCCGGAGAAGGTGGAAAAAAATGAAGGACGGGTGTTGTGGTGGTGATGTGGTGATGCAATGGTGGTGTGAATCCCTTGCTTTTTTTTTGTAAACAAACAATATGCTTAATTTTGAGGGTTTCATTCCATTCTCCTCCATTCCCTTTCTGCATTCCATTCCGATTCCCCTATGCGAACCAAACGGCTCCGTAATTTATGTATTCATAAAATTCCTCCCTTATCAAAATAATACTTCGTATGCTCTTATTTGATCACATAATCATAAAATAGATCTATCGACATAAACCATCAAAAACCAACATAGAAGCCAGGTTGACCTGTGCTTAGCCTACTATACACACTCACTTTCCATTTTGCAAATATACAATACTGAGTAAATTATATGAAAATGCAAACATATCGTTCTACAAAAAAATACAAATGACTGCTGCCATTTAAGTCAATAATCAAGGAAACATCTTACCAATATAATTAAATCACTCACTTTCAAAATCTTCATAATTATGATAGTTCTCTGTCAATGGCACCTTGTTTCCTTCTGTTAGCCCACAGCATATATTAGAGACCCACAGAAGTATCAACAAACTAACAAAGTATGAAAATTAGCAAAAGCATCTCACCTGCTAATTCACCCCTGTCTCGGGCAGCAAGGATGTTCTCCGTCTCTGTAGACATAAGAGCTGAATTTGTGTAATTCTCTAATCCATCTGTCCAAGACAACATCGTCAAACTTTAGACAGGAACTATGAAATCCTAGATCTTCATTTCAAACAATTTAACTTTTTAACTTCATCCTAGTTGTACAATAAAGACAATAAGGTGATCAAATGAAGCACAATTGGCAAATATTATGACCAATTACAGAATGACAAGGAAGTCAAAAGTATCTTGAAGTAATCAATATGAGGGGCAAAGTAAAAACATACTAGGATAAACAAGACCAAAGAATTTGGATCCCAGCTGCTCAAAAGAACCGTTGATGCCCAACATTGTCTCATTTAACGGTTGTGAGCTTGCTTCCAAACCACCAAAAGCTGCAATAGATGGATCCTCCATGGAGCCATGCACTTCACCAAGATGTGGATCAGCTTCATAAAAAATTGAGGAATTGGAAGGATAGCTACTTTCTGATTTAACAATCCCTCCATTCAAACCTTGCATCAATCTCAAGGAATTAGAGTTCTGAATATGAAGTGAGTTAGGATTAATATCAATTGTTCTGGACGGAAAAGGTGAAGGTATTTGCAAGGATGATACACCATTAGTGAAGGAATTGGGTAAACTTGGAGCAATAGAAGGTTGTAAGCTCTCTGGTGTTAAAGATGGTCCAGTCTGATCAATAGTACCATAGCAGCCAGCATTTTGTTGGACTGTTAAGGGATGCACAAACGTATTAATATAATGCTCAGTGGGGCTACAAATAAAAAAGAGGCATAAGAAACACATTAAGTAATTACACATTGAGAAAACTTAAGTGATAGAACTCAAACTTCGCAATCATAGAAGACTTATAACAGAAATTGCAGTGTACTTTGTATAATCAATTTAAGCATAACATATAACAATTAGGAACTGATATAAATACTTGTAAATAACAGTAAAGCTCTGATCTGTTCACCTTAAACATATTCTTGTTTAATTTAGGTAAGACTACACCAAAAAGATTCATACCAGACCAGATCTTATTTTTTAAAACTGGTAAAACACAAAGCATATTTTTTTTCCAGATAAAAAATGCCCCTAGTATCACTTACATTGTGCCATGTGCGCACCATTAGTAGTTGGCATGGGAGCAACTCCAGTAGGTTTGATCTTGCCCATCAGCAGCCCCTGCTGCTTCAACAGTTCATTAAACTGCTGTATTTGTTCCTTCAATGCCAATCGAATATGATAAGCCTCAAAAAATTCTTGATTCTCTGCTTCAAGTCGGTTCCATACTACAAAAAGATATAGCTAGTAAAGTTAACAAACATAAAAAGAAAACAGCTGATCTTTAGTGGGAATAGGGAATCCAGATTGCAATTTGGAATCTCTATATTTTGACAAAGAGTTAGTGTCCGTTTATTATTTCATAACATTAACAATTAAAATATAATGGGCCTCAATTCAATTATTTACGTTACCCAGGTCAAAGTGCCAGAGCGTAGAAAATCAGGAAGAAAAAAAAAAATCTTAAAAAAGACCATGCCACCCATGGTTTTAGTCCTTGGGTACAGTCACAAACTGTGAAATAATGTGGATTGTTTCTGGCTATTGAGACCTAATATTTGGTCGTGGTAATATGAACAAAATAAATAAGAGAGAGACATGTGAAGGTATTATTCAATTATTCCTTTATTCTTCAATTTAATTTATTCCTTTATGAGTTAATGAAGTGTCTAATTCCTTATACAATAAATGTAGCTCTGTGATGGTAATATTAAATTGCCACAGTAACTTTCTAAGTTTTGCTACTCTAATAAGTGGGTGTTTTAACGATCTTAATTGTGCAGGAGTATTAGGTGTAAAGCAAAATGCTGTCAATGGTGTGGACCGGTGGCTTGGGTGCAAAGTGATGATACTCTACAAAAAGAGTGTTGTTATGCCTGGGAGCTCTAATTAATTTATGTGATTGAAAATTTGTATTAATTTTTTGGGGCTTCCTTTATGTAAGGTTTGAATAAATTGTTGTAATAATTAATCATGTTTATGTCAAAAGACCATCCTTTTCCGTAAGTAGGCTAGCAATAAACTACGAATACTGTTAAACTTAATTTTGTTATATATTTGTATGTCATGTGGATTTATTCCCCTTTTTAAATTTAAAGTACTTATTTAAAGAATATGTTAGCAGTTGCACCGTATAGGAGCTCACCTAGTGAACGAATAAATGAGGGAGGTAAATTTCATTATTCTGGATTTTTTAATCATCTTCTATTTTTATTTTTGTAGATTTTTTTAAAAAAAAAAAAATCTTCTAGAGCACAACCTTGTTTGTGTTCCCCTAGTTCCGGATTGATTATCACATATAGCTAGAAACATCACATGTGTAATAAAGGATACTTAAACCAAAACAAACGAAATAACAATTTTCAAGTTATTCTCACTTCCTTACCACACACCAAACAAGGGAGTGCAAACTATTAAACGTATTCCCAATCTCTAATTTCTACTCCCCAATTTCCACAATTTTATACCCGCTTTTTGAAGTCACTGACAAAAACTACACTGCCAGCACCACAAGTTACCTACCATTAACAAGTTTGCTTCAAGCAGCTTAAAGATAGAACTGAGAGACACTATCTTGACCTAGGCTAAGAAATAATTATTGATACACTTTAAATTTACATTTGCAAAGCAAAAGAGCCCTGGTTCCAAACTTTAAGTCCTACATGAAATGATATGTGAAAAAGGAAGCAACATTAAAAGTAGGATCCCCATCCCCTTAAAAAGCCTATATAGCTGTAACAACCTATTTTCGAATGCTCCAACAAATTCCAAGCTTGTGTTTTCCTTTAACTGACTATAATTCTTAGTAAAGGCCAAAGATTACTCTGCAAAAATGACAAAGATCACACTACTGTTCACTAGTGATGTTTATAGTTTACATTTGAGTGTACAGCACCCAGCAACAGGTGATAAATAGGGGTAGAAGAGAGCCTAAAATCTCCCATTTTCTGGAGTATTACCTTCCGGATATAGCAAATGACAAGGTGCGCTCATTACATCTCTAGAATATGAGAGAAAGTAGCATCGTGTGCAATTGGATGGCAAGGTGATGACTAATGAGAGTTTCACCAACATTATTAAAACTTTGCTAAATAAAGCATATTTATATACTCTTTGCATCCCCTTTGAAGTATTATTCAGATTTATGGGGGCTCAAATTAAGTAGTGTTTCATATTTAAAACATATAATTCCAACATTCTCCTCTAGTAGAGTAATAGCTACTATTATTAAACACACTTATATCTTCCTGCAATGTTGATCTTTCCAACTCCCATTCATCAGTCAAAAACTACTCAATTAGGGGTACTTTGGTCACTTTTTTTATCCTCCTTTCTCATGCATACATGTTACTTGTACCATATTACAGAAAAGGGCTGAAAGGGGTATGTAGTATAATTACATAAACTTACAAATTTCGATAACAGTAGGCATCACACTTGCTTCACGTGTGATCGTGTCCACAGCTTCTTTCTTACTCATGTGCAGTAGAATGCATCGCTCTATAAGATTTTTCACCTGCCATTGTGAAATTGGGTCAACCCTAGATATTGCAATCACTATAGTATTCAATAAGGAGATTGTAATCAACATAACATCCTAGGGGGGTGTTGGAGAGTGAAAAAGAGAAACTCAATGAGTAATTCCAGAACTACCCAGCCTGGAAGTTTAAACCCCACTCCCAAAAAAAGTTATAATTATAAAGAATTCGAGATGAATGGTAAAAAAAAAAAAAAAAAAAAAAAAAAAAAAAAAAAAAAAAAGCACAAAAAAAAAAATACTAACTCGTTTTCCTAAAACAGGTTAATTCAAAACTATTAGATGATAAAGCAATAGAAAAAAGAAAAGTCTAATGACTCTTAAAGACATCTTGTCAAAGATCTTGCCTTTATTTGAAAACAATATCCCTCAAAGTCCAACATTATAACAAAAAAATCATGAAGCAAAAACTTCAATATAATGCATCCATTCATACCCATTGTAATTGTTGACCAGAGGGGCCTCTGACGTCCCCACCTGACATGATTAGAGGACTTAAGAATTCCAGACAGAAGACACTCGCATAACAGTTGTAGCTCCTGTCAACAAGCAGGTACAACAAACTCAAATCTGTAGAAATTCCCTGAATATCATTACAAAAAGAAAAACAAAAGGAATCAGACATTACTGAAGAGAAAAACTTTATCTCAAGCAACAATTTCATCTGAGGAAATCGACAGTAAAATTTCTAGACTTGTGCCAACAAGCTTATGCAAAATAGCTTCACACGCCCTAGGAGCATTTCACAATAGAAAGCACCGGCATGCTTGAGAAACAAATCAATGGAACCGGCTTTAAACAAGCAGGTTATTAGTCGTAAAGAGCATAAATCACTTTCAGACAGCAAACAATCATTAGGGATCTTTTGCTCATAAAGCTGAATTTCAGCATAATTTAGCACAAAATTTTCCCTAATTCAATTCAATCTTAAGCTTTTATTCAAAAATTTACCTCAAAAATATTCTTCATATAAGTATATCATAAACAAACTAAAATTTAGTTTCGAATACGTCGAGTGTGGATTGAATTGAAGAAGTAAATACGGAAAAATTCTAAATCTTGGTGATTAAATGCATAATCAAACTTTTTCGCGTAAAAAAAATATTAATAATTACTATTCCGTACAAGTTCATTAATTAATTTCATTCTCGTATAACAAACAAAATTGTCCAAATCATAATCATAACTCGAAAACGACAACCCGTGGCAATTGTTCTGACACAAAAACACCATGATCACCCTTCAATTATCACTCTTAAACCCTCAAAAATCACACAAATTAACAAATTAAACTCTACTCTAGGGTTTCATATCCAAATCATCAAGAATCCATCGTCATCATCATCAATTTCATCATATCATCAACAAAACACAAAATTGACATAAATTCGTGTAAATTTCAGAAGCTTCTCAAAAATTCCAGATCAATTACACAAATGCAAAAAACATCAATAATCACGAAAAAAACGGCGGAATTTAAAAAGGAAGAATTTAACAAAAATCCAAAAAAAAAAAGAGGAGAGAGAAAGAGGGGAAAACCTGAGAGAAGGTAGCGTTGAGTGGCGAGGAAAGAGACGAAGATGATAAGAACTTGAGGAGAGAGAAAGTAGGGAGAGAAAGGGAGATTCTGCTGATTATGCTAAGATGATGGATGATGATGGGTGAAGAGAGAGAAAGAAGAGAGGAGAGAGAGTTTGCCTTTTTGTTGTTGATGGTTTTGGCTGCGCTAACGTGTGGAAGGCCTTATTTTATTGTGCGTGGTTTTGTGGGGCCCACATATGTCTGTAGTGTGGGACCCAAGCCCTTAATTTTTGGGGTTGGGGTAAGATAGCATAACACTTGGGAGTCTAGTCTTTGCTTTGTTTTTGCTTGGAGTTGGGTAGAAGAGAGTCAAATTCAATAGAATGAATGAATTATGATGATGTGAAAGGGGATTTTTTTTGGTTGGTTTTGGTTTTTTTCTTGGGATCTTCAATGAGTTGCATTCAAGTTTTGTGGCTAGGTTTTTTGTGGCTTGTAATTACCCTCGTTGGATTCTATCTGTCTTGATCTTGAATCATTGGTGTTTTCATATACACGTATACAGTGGCGGACTCACGTGTAGTCATAGTGGGTCCGCGGACAACCTATTATTTTCTATAAAAAAAAAAAAAACTAAGTATCAAGAGTTTTAGCTTGTAATCTGGTGGTTTGTTCCCCATCCTACCACATACGAGATACGGGTTCGACTCCCATTACTCTCAAACATTTTTTTTTTTTTGGGCTTTACAACCTCATTTTCACAATTTCACGATTTAAAATATCCCCAAATTCCCAATTCCCCCAAATTGAAACCCTAAGTCTCAAAGTCACCCAATTACCCAAGCCCCGTCGCCGTTCACCGTATCGCCGCCTCGCCGGCAGCCCCGTCGCCGTGCATTAATTAGTAGAGAATTGAAGAGTGAGAAGATGGAAAAACCATCTGTTAGCTATGGATATGCTGAGAAAGCTAAGAAAGGGGAGGATTTTTACTTGGTTAAAACTGATTGTCAGAGAGTTCCTGGCAATTCTGCTTCAACATTTTCAGTTTTTGTTGTATGTGATCTAACTTTATTTTGATTTACATTTTTGTTTTGGATTTGAGTATAATTGTATAAACAATTTTTTTTTTTAGCAATTGGGTCCTTTGTTTTTTTAATTTTTTGCTGTTTTTGGGTTTTTGTTGATATACAATTGTAATTTATTGTTGTTTTTGCTTCATTTTAATTGTTCAATCTTCATGTATTAATGCTAGTGTTATGGCTGTTATTATTTTTAATTTATTGTTTTGATTCTTTTTGTTTATGGTTATATAATTCTCCGAATAATAATTGCTAATAATAGAGTGATGTAACCAAAAAAGATAATAATAAAAATAAATAAAATAGAATGATTCTGGATGGGCCTTTTTAGATAGATGCTTAATTTGTTGGGGATTTTGATGTGTGTTGATCTAGTCTCAAGATTATATGTAATAGGGATTTGTAACAATCTGACTGATTCCAGATCTATATGTTCACTAGTTCCATTCTGAATTTAACTAGTTAGGAATAATTTTTCAATTTTGGCTGCATTTTTTTTAATCACAATCTGAATTTATGCTAGTATAGGGCATGTTCAGTCATTTTCTAAGAATTGTCAAATTTTTAATCTCTTTTTGCTCTTGGCTGATATACATATTTTTTATGGGCATCATGGAAATGTTGCTGCTATATACGCTAGGGATAACTTACTGAATCATGTGTTAGCTGCGATGCCTCGAGAGCTTGGTCGTGATGAATGGCTTCATGCCTTACCTAGAGCACTAGGAGGGCAATGTTTACTTTAGCCCTGTACGATTACCTGAGACAAAATATCTTAATGTTTATTTTCTGGTTTAATTTAAGATGAACGCTCTAGAAATTTGAAGATATTAAGAAATAGAGCATTGACAATGTAGTGCCCGCTGAGTTCCTAATTTTGAGAAACTCACTAGCATTGACTCATTTCTAGAGCATCCTTTATTACTTAGATTGGATTATTTTTCTGAGTTTTTGATTGTAAGTTGACATGAACTATAGCTTGCTGAATTGAGCTTCCTAATTAAATTATGACCAGTCCTAGCATAAGATGTGTGTAAAGGGGTTATTTTTATAGCTTAATGGGTAGTTGATCAAGGATTGGTGACTGTTGATGATTGAATAGGGCCAATAGGGGTGAACTTTGTCTTGGTAGCATTGTTCAATGACTTATGCACAATTCTCCTGTGACTGTATGGGAGTGTCTTATAGAGTTCATTTAAATTACTTTAGTTCAAATGGTAATGCTTGCCATCCATTAGAAAATGATGTTTATAGATATGAATGCTTCTGACTTTCTGAGCTTTGAGGTAGAATATATGCTGGTAACTTGTGTTTCGGGGTTTTTTGATGTGTCCTGCGGGAGAGTTACAATTCCAAGAATGCCCTTCGACGCCTGTGCCTGCAAAATCACGAAGACTCCTGGGGGTAAGAGCTCCGCCTCCGACGATCAAGTTAGTAAAGATACGGGAGGTAGAATGCACGTAATGTGGAAGTTACTTCTCGCGTAATGGGAGAATTCTGCAATTAATATTGCTCGGGGTAAGTATTTTTCTTTTTGAGGAGTATTCAATGTGAACAACAAATGTTCCAGCCCCCCATTAATGAGGGTCCTTCCACTATTTATAGTGGGGAAGGGATGGTTTCCCTTTTAGGGTTTAGAGGACACGTGTCAGCAGAGGATTGGAGCACTGCTGACCAACGGCTGGATGCCACGTGTCACTACGCCATTGGGCCACGTGTTTAGGGTATTTTTACCCCAAACATTTGCCCCTCACTGGTGCTGACGTGGCAGGGTGCCACGTGGCGCCGGTGAAAGGTTTTTTTTTTTTTTTTTTGAAGGATGGAAAAGCAGAAGGCGAAGAGTCACGACTTTTCACCTTCTGGGACAAATTCTATAAATAGGAGAAGATGTCCCCCGAGCTCTCATTTACAAACTTTGCCAAATTTCTGAAAATTTGAGAGCAGTCGGCAATTTGAGAGTTGAGAGCATTCGGAGTTGAGATTCGTTGGGAGCAACCGGTCTACAGACCGTCTGGGTCGTTGCAAGCTAGCCAGAGGTTTTCGAGAGGGTAATCAGAGAAACCCAGCCGGATTTTGAACCGCCTGCGTCTTCGCAAGCATCCCAAAGAATTTCCAGATTTTCTTCTAGGTACCGTCTCTATTCTTTCTAGCTTTTTCATGTATTTCCGTTTGAGTCTTTTACTCGCATTTTTGTTCATTGGTCCCATAAGTAGATGGACCCCTTATACCCATACCCGGAACCTAGCTGTGAACTCAGCCGGTTTATTAGTACGGCTGAGTCTAGAACTGGGTCTGCCGCCTCTGTTCTTTGGGACAACCCTTTTTCAACACCCATATCGACCGATTCTGTGTCTGTGCAGGACACAATGGCCAGAATCCGGTCTACTGCCAGAGATCCTAACTACAGAAGTGGGAGCTCAGATGAGCAGCCGCCTGAGGTCCCAGCTTCAGGCGGTGAAGTAGAGCAAGGAGAGGTAGAGCAGAGAGGCTCACCCGGGGGCGCTCCTAGCACCCCGGGTGATAGCATTTTAACGAAGAGAGTGCTCCCCTCCAGGAGACCAGAGAGAAGGTAGGCTCTGATGAGGAGGTCTCCAACTCCCCAGCCGGCTCTGATGCCGGTCACGTTCAAAGTAGCAGTAGCAGCTACTTAACCGAATCTGAGGATAGCGAGGAGGCGGAGAGGCCTTCTTGGGACAATAGGAACGATCCTCTCATGATCGCCGTCTCCTCTAAGGACCGCGAGCTCATGCGGGCTGCGCTGCCAGATTTTATCAAACGGCGGCCGCTGGGGGGTGACTATTCAATAAAAATCCCGGCTGCTCTGGGAACAATATGGTGGGAGGATGGACAACCGAACGCGAACGCTTGGTTCGGGTGCTACGAGGCGGCCTTCGTGGTCGGAGTCCGCTTCCCTCTCCACGACACAATAAAAGCCATACTTAGGGGGTATGGCCTAGGTCTCTGGCAATTAACCCCCAACTCATGGGTAAATATTTTAGGGTATATCGCCGCCTGCGAGATGCAGGGCCTCAACCCCGGCTGGGAGGCGTTTGCCCACATGCATTACTTGAGTAGGAGCCCAGGCGGCTGGAGAGCCTGGTATACCTTGACCACCCAGCCCAAATACCTTATGACCTTGGACAAGCCATCCAAATGGTCGGACTGGAAGCACCGGTTCTACTTGGTTAAGGCCCCAACTATGGCAGAGAACAGAGAATTCCGGATCTACAACCGGAAACCAGAACTCTTGGGGACCAAGTGCTGCCTGCCCCCTGTCCCGGAGGATGATAGAGAGACCATCCTTGACTCCGGGTTTTTTGAGTTAGTTCCTGACACCCTCTCATCCGGAGAGATAGTAAGGGTACCTAGAAACTGGGTGCCCAAACATGAATTTTTTAGGGACGAATGCTTCTTGTCCGCTTGTGGTCTAAGCAGCATGTTTAAAAAACGTATGTATTCGGAACTCAGCCGGTTTCTTTCGAACCGGATGCTTTTATTTCCTTGCTTATTTATTATTCTAACCGTGTGCCTTCCTCTGCAGAAGAAGCCAAGAAAATGCTGCCCACCGAGAAAACACCGGCTAGGTCGGCTGCCGACATCCGGAAAGCCAATCTCGAGAAAAAACTTGCTACCCAGGCGGCGAAGAAGGTATAACCGTCTGATCCTTCTCGTTTATTTCAATCCTTTTATCCCATAACTTATATTTTTCTCGTTTACAGGACGGGAAGCAGATGCCCCGGTCCCTTCAAAAACAGGTCAGGCCTCCGCCGACCCAACAAGAGTCTGCATCCAAGGTGCAGAAGACAGCCGACCGGCAAACTACCGGCGGCAAATCAATAAAGGTCCCAGGCGGGCCTGGATCTGCGGATGTGCTTTCTGCCATCCCATTGAGGACCGCAACCGGTCCCTCTGAAGGCCGTTCGGGCCGCCAAGGTAACTTCGACCTTACACTGCTTGATCTGCCCATGCGGGTCAAGTCTTATTCACAGTCTCGATTGCAGCCTCCAATCAGCCGGCAATCTATAGGCAGAGCATATGCGAGTTTCTCACCGTCTGTTTCTGGTGCATATAATTCTCCCCGCTGGCCGGACGGGGCACAATATGCCC